ATTGGTTTAAGAGGTATTGTGATTAGAGTTAGAAGATTGGGTTTGGGGTTAGGAACAGCATTTGCACCCAAAAGCCCAACGGAGTAGGCGTAAAGACTCCTTGGATTAGTCAGTTTGGGGAGGATGGGGTTCAAAATGTGAGCCTGAATCAAGATTCAAAATAAATTCAGATTCCTATGGAGCCAAGGCTAGGAAGGGCTGGGGCGGGGTTGGAGTTGGAGGTAGGATGTAGATTTCCCAATTGAGTTTGAAATCAGGCAGGTTAGAATGTGTGGGGGTGAGCCTCTGGCCAAAGGAACTGCATGGGCTTTGAGATCTACATCCTCAACCCCACCACCCCAACATCTCCCTGAAACGGATGAGTGGATGGATGCTATGCACAGATGATGGACAGATGGGCAGATTATAGGTGACTTCGGAGTGTCCAACCGGGACGCTGTGGCCAGGAAATCTGGCTGCCTCTGTAGGAGCAGCGAGTAGGACTCCTGACCCTGCGCTTATCGCGTCTCCCCTCGCCCCCCCTGGAGCCCGCGACCAGAGCCAAGGTCGCGGCATCAGCCGTTTGTGTGTCTCGCTTTGACGTGGGCTCACTGCGCAGCGTCTTTTCAACTTGTTTACAAGCCTGCGTCACCCGGGAACCTTTCACCGCTGCCTAGGACAAAAGGTTCCTCCTTTTTAAGTCCGCTTTAGTCAGAAAGGGCATTCACCAGAGCCCAGTACTCAGACTGGTGCAGGGCGACACCCCGTGGTGGATGCAGACAGTGCACACCCACCCGCTCACTCCTTCCCCCATTCACTCCTTCCCCCATTCACTCCTTCCCCCATTCACTCCTTCCCCCAATCCCTACCCACGCCTATGATCTGCCCACCAGGCATGGTCTGTGCATAGCACCCAGCCACCCGCCCATTGCAGGCCCACACATCCATTCACCACATATAACAGCCACACACACCTTCTCTCCACCCATTCACCCATCCACATCCCTCCGCTGAAATTTTCATCCTTTCATGTAAATATTTATCTTTCCAGTCACTATCCATTCACCATCCACTATCCGTTGACTCACCTGACAAAATATCTATGGAGCACCTTCTATGTGCTAGGACCCCCCCAAAGCACTGGGGTCAAGGGTCACAGGACAGTTCCTGTCCTTATCAGACCCCCAGGGCAGCAGAGGAGACACGCCCACAGAGGCCCTTGTGAAATGGCCACAGTGCTCACAGAGCACTGTGAGGATGTATCGGCCCAGACTTGGGGGCCGAGGACGGCTAAGTGAGCAAACAATTTCTAAGCTGAGATTCAAAAGTGGCTGGGATGAGCCAGGCAAAGAGGGGGGAGGATGCCAAAGGCCAGTCCCCTCTCAGAGTGGACTCTGAGCAGAGGGTGTGGAGGAGCCAAGGCAAGAGAAGCCAGACCCGCAAGGCCTTGTCAGCCCCTCAGAGGGCTTGGATGCCACCCCGGGTACCTGTGCTGCAGAAGTTTCTACTTCTGAATTATTTTTGTTTTTACAGAAATAATACATTTCTACAACTTCATTGTACCAAATAGAGACCAGTAGGGAAAAAATAACCCATAATCTTACCACGCAGAGCTAGCAAATATGGAGATCTCCTGTACATCCGTAAGGCTGCCTGAGCTGTGCTCCTCAGTGCTAGATGGCAGGGTGACAGTGAGCAAGGCCACAGCCCCTGCCTCAAGGTTGCACAGATGCCCCACTGTGAAGATGTCTTGAAAAGAAGAGCTATGGGTATAGCAGACGCCACTGGGGACCAATCCATCGTCCATTCCAATCACCCATCTCCTTGTTAACACAACCGATGGTGTCCAGTCACCTGCCCTTGTCCCTGGGGCATATGCTCGAAGACGAGGTCTGCCACAGAGTTCCCATCCCCATGCCTGCATTGGTTGAGGCATGCATAAAAATATTTTTGCTAGGCACACATGACAAGAAGTGCTCTGAGGAGCTTCTCATTATATGAGGCGATATTACCTTATCATTTCAGTCATTTCTTGTGGAGCTTTCTCTTTCTTGCATCAAAATGCAACCTAAATGATGTCAGGGACTATTGTTGAGAAGTTCTAGATGGTTTTCTTTCTAACCTCCTAAGTAACTGATAGCCAAACCAAAGACAAAAACACACATTGACCAGAGAACTTGTCTTATTATGAACTATACCTTTGGACTTCTTGGGCTCTTCTTCAAAGTATATGCATAATTGTTTTAAATAATTGGATAAAATTATAGAACAATTATTGGTGAGAGGCAGTGTGTGTCTGGTTAAGATCAAAGATGAGCTCCCCTACAAGCGAATCCTGTCTCTGGCGCCCCTGGCTCTGTTGGGTACATTTGTCAACCTCACAGTCACTCAGTCTCCTCCTTCATGTGAAGGCGATGGTAATAACAGGACCTGCTTCCCTGGGTGGTCTGTGTTAAATGGGCTCCAGCACAGAGAACAGCCTGGCACACAGAAACACTATGTAAGAGTTCATGGAAAATTCACAATGGTCCATAAACTTCCTGATGATAACAATGAAATTGGAAGTATGCCCAGTAGCTTTTCTTTCTTTGGACCACCTCTTTTCTAGATTCCTAAAAGTCTCATTAGAATTTCTGGTGCTTGAGATAAATCATTTCAAAACTGTTTGCTTTCCTACCTCAGTCACTAGTTAACAAAGTACTTGCTGAAACCTAACTCTAGTGCAGTTTTCTGTTCTGCTAGTCTGTGACAGTGAGTAGGGAGGTAAGACTGCAGAGACAGGGGGGTCTCGATCCCCTAAGACTTTGAGTGACAATGTAAGGAGCCTCTATCCTGGGGCTTAGGGAAAACACTTGTCTGTTTAGGGTATTTAACACTAGCTGCTGTAATAAACACTTCTGCACGCACTCGCACGTGTGCACACCCACAAATCACATATGTGGCTTAACACAATAAAATTTCCTTCCTCCTTGTGCAAGGTTCCTTGATACTGCCTGCGGAATGCTGTCGCTGCCAGTGGGAGGCTGTCCTCCAGCGCTGATACAAGCATCCCCGCTCCTTCCACCTCGGGGAGCCCCTGCACACTCCCACCCCTGGCTCTACCAGAGTTCCTGCAATGGGATCGGTCTCCCCACCCAGGAATCGCCTTGGGCATGGAGCTGCTAGCATTTTCACTGGCACCACCTACCTACCCTGCAGGCTGCTCCAGAGACCCCTAAATGTCCTTGAAAAGACAGAGCCCTGACTGTCTCCTCAACTCCAAACAGACTTTATCCATAAATCCCCTAGATGCATGGGGAAATCTGGTGACCATGGTCAGAACTCAAAGAGAAGTCTCCTGCTGCTTTTTAGGGACTTGGACCCAGAGTTTGGGGGAAAGAAGGGAGATCCTAGTGCCTGTGACCACAACAGCTGGGGAACCTGGGCGGTATAAACTGGATCCCAGCTCTTGATCCCCTCATCCCCTCCTCTGTTTCTTGATAGAACTTGTTACTCTGTGTCTTTATTGTCTGTCTCATACACCCTCTGGGGCAGTGTTCTCGGGCCTTCGCCAGCTTGGGAATCACAGGGGGGGCTCGCTGCACCCCTGAGAGCTGGCTCCACCCCAGAGCTTCTGCTGCAGGGGCCGGCGGAACATTTGCTTTACTGACGAGTTGCCAGCATTTCCGAAGCTCGGTACCGGGGCTACGCTTTCAGAACCGCCCCTGGAGAAAGCGAGGTGCGCTCCGCCGAGAGGGCCGCGCGCACAGGAAGGCGGCTTTGAATCGCTGAGTCAGGGACTGAAGAAGACCGAGGGGGAGCGATGAGTGGGAAGCCAGACCCCGCCGCGCGCGGGCGCCGTGCTGGCCGCGCCCCGGGAATTGAAATAGAGCGACTCTGGGCCTCCCCGCACCCCACCCGCGGCCCACGGGCCCCACCCCAATCCGGCCGGCCTCTGGGGCTTTGTGACGTCACGACCCCAGCGGCCAGGAGAATGGTTGCCATGGCGACGTAAACCAAAGGCCCAGGAGCGAAGAACCTGGAACCCCGGCCCGCAAGCTTCGGATCAAGCCCGGGTGCGCGCGGCTGGTGAGTGCGCGCGGGGCTGTCGTGGGGCGCACTCGCGTCGGGGTGCTCTCTGGGCCCAAGTGCAAGACCCCTTTGCAAGGCTTCCCGCCCTTCCTTCCTTGTCACTACACTTGTTTTACCACCCGCCTAGCATCCCTCTGTCCCAGGGCCGGACAGCATTTCCCCGCCGAGCTGGGGGTGGGGAGACAGGCCCTGCTAACCCGCCTCTCCGGGACCTGGATTCCTGTTCCCCACAGTGTAGCAGGAGCTCGGTGGCAGGGCGCAGGCGTTGGCGTCGAGGAATCTTAGGCTGCAATCCCAGCTTCCACCCTTCCTGGCTGAGTGACTTTGGACGAACCTCTACTTTGTTTCTTCTTTTGCAAAATGAAAAGACATTCGATGTTAAGGACGTGCCAGGCGCTTTTATGAGCGCATGAGCTACAGATCAGAAAAGAGCCCTGGTTCTCATGGAGCTTACATTCTAGAGGGAAATAGGCAATAAACCGATTTTTTTTAAAAGTGATAATCAGACTAATTGCAAAGGAGAAAATAAAGTGAAGTCATATGAGGTTGCTGTAAAGAACCCACTTTAGATGGGGTGATGAGGGAAGGGGCGAACTTTGAGTTCAGATCTGAAGAGAGAGTGTGGGAGCTGGGTATGGGAGGACATTGTTTGACTGAGGAGGCAGCAGATGCAAAGACCCTGAGGTAGACCATGGTTGGTGTGTTCTAGCAACAGACAGAACCAAGTCAGGGAGGGGAGAGAAGATGGGGTGCTGGACAGGGAAGAGAAGGAGCTGCAGGTGTTGGCCACATGGTGAGCCCTCAGTAAATACCAGCTGATCTCAGCCACCCAGGAGGAGGGAGGCTGTGGGCCTGGAGACCATCTGGCTCAAGCACTGTGTCACTCCCCAGGTTGGAACCTCCTTTAGCCAAGGTCAAGTTTTGCAGCAAGCCCTTGGTGCTCTGCAGGGATGTCCAAGGTCCTGGCTACTATGGTCTCCAAGAACATGACGTCCAACAACAGTAAGTACCCAGCTGGGGTGGGCTCTCTCAAAGATCAAAGATGGTGTTGGGAGCCTGGGACAGTGAGGTCTAGATTTAATCCAGGGTTCAGGTGATTCTAAATCAAGCCGTAGGGCAGAAATCACAGTTTGCCAGGTTCCCTAGAAACCCCATGTACTAGAGTCCTAAGGTTGCTAGAACAAAGTACCACCCCAGACTGGTGTCTTTTTTTTTTTTTTTGATATGCCTTTATTGATTTCAGAAAGAGGAAAGAAGAGGAAGAGAGAGAGATAGAAACATCAATGATGAGAGAGTCATTGAGCAGCTGCCTCCCGCACAGCCCCTACTGGGGATCGAACCCGCAACCTGGGCATGTGCCCTGACTGGGAGTCGAACCTTCATCTCCTGGATCATAGGTCGATGCCCGACCACTGAGTCACACCGGCCGGGCAGACTTGTGTCTTAAACAACACAATTGTCTCATGGTTTGGGGGATGGAAGTCCAAGATCAAGGGTTGGTTCCTTCTGAGGGCCATGCGGGGGAATCTATTCCATGCCTCTCTCCTTGCTTCTGTTAGTTTGCCAGCAATCTTTGATGTGCCTTGGCTGGTAGACTTCAGTCTCTGCCTTCATCTTCACATAGTGTTCTGCCTTTATGTGTACGTGTTACAAATTTCCCCTTTTTATTAAGGGCAGGTGTCATACTGAATTAGGCACAATTTTTAAAATTGGTTAATGTGGTAAAATACACATAAAATTTAGCATTTTTATTTTTAAGTATTTAAAGCATTTTCATGCGTCCAGTTCAGTGATATTAAGTACATTCACACTGTTGTGTAACCATCACCACCATCCATCTCCAGAACAGTCTTCATCTTGACTCTGCAGCCATTAAACATTAACTCCCTATTTTCCTTCCCCTAGCCCCTGGCACCCACTATTCTACTTTCTCTCTCTATGAATTTTACTCCTCTAAGGATCTCATATAAGTGGAATCATACAGTATGTGCCCTTTTGTGACTGATTTCTTTTACTTAGTATGATGTCCTCAAGGTTTATCTATGTCTTAGCACATAGGCAGAGGCATTTTTAGTGAAAAGGCAAGTGGCATCTAAGTATGTTTACGTATAAAATACCTCTGAGTAAATATACAAAAATCTGTCCGGCAGTGAAGGCTTCAGGTAAGGATCTATCATCATAGAAACACATCACATCAATCGTCACCATATCAACACATCAAACCTGCATTGTCAGAAAGATTTGCTATGTACGTGCATTGCTTTTTCAATTCAGAAAAAATTAAATTTCGTTAGGGTTTTGTCTTGTTTTTGGATTTGGTTTATTTAAATTACAGTGGTATCTTCTGATGTTTATAATATGGTTAATTAAAGTTTACTACCTGGAAATTTAATCATATAATCACTAAGAAAGAAAGTTAGAAAACAATGAAGATTCAGCAACCTGTACCCCTGAGTTCTCCACAGGCCTCACCACTCCCTACAGCCTCAGCCTCCTTCCCCTTTACCATTATATGTGCTGCCTGGCCTTGAAGGCATTTAAGTTTTCAGCCCTAGGTCCTGACCTTCATGCCAGTCCCACAGGACTCTGCTCTTCCTCAGTTTTCCTACACCCATGACCCATCTGCTCAGGACCTTGCCCTTGGTAGTATACCACCCATCTCCCAGGCCCTCACTTCCCCTTCATCATCCCAGGTCACCCTCTCCCACACTGGTCCAAGAGGACCGGCTCCCTGAGCTTTCCACCAGAGCACACCTCTGTGCTCTCCAGCAGTCCCCACCCCATTGCCCTCTTAGCTGGCTGCTCTCCCAGGCTCGCATAGACTGGAACCTCCAAGCTGCAAAAGATTCCTGAGTTAGGGTTGGAGGAAGTATGAGTCCAAAGCCTCCTTCCCTGTGGGTATCAGCTGAAGGGAGAACAAGGAAATGGGAGTCTCTGACGGCCCAACCCTGATGGAAGAACCTGGGCAGCTCCCAGCAAAAGCGCTGGCAGGGCAAGAGGAAGATGCTTAGATCCATGACCTCCTTGTATAATCCTGCACTGCTCTTCAGGAACAAATTGAAGGATGTGAAAGGGAAGGCAGCTTCTGTGTGCCAGGCACATGTGCTAGGAAAATTTGTGGCTATTTTCTTGCACAATCCTTACAATTTCCCAGCAAAATGAGCATGATTATCTCAGATGTGGAAACTGAGGCTCCAAGAAGCTGAGAGACTTGCCAAGCCCACTTTGCAAGCAGGTGAGGGTGCTGGGGCTAGAGCCCTACAGTATGTCTGAGTCTTTCCCCAGCCTCATGCTGTGTTCACAGCTATCACAAAATATGCCATTTGCTGTGGCCCTCACTTTTGTGTCTCCCCAGAGGACAACCTGGAATCCACAAACAACAATCCTCCTTCAATCACTGAAGAAAAAAAGAAACATAGGAAAAACAACAAAGGTACCTCTGGGGCAGGGAGCTGAAGTCCCAGGTAGTGGGGGGCACACTCTCTCCCTCAGCTGCAGATGCCTTCAGGCCTAGTCCTCAGTGTGAAGGGCAGAGGTAATGCTTCTGTTTCCAGTAGGAAATGGGCTACTGAGACCTGAAATAGCAGGAACATAAACAAAGTAGGATGTTTCCTCCAGTAATGGGAAATGTGGGAAGCAGTCCATGGTTCCATGAGGCTCCAGCAATAGCAGTTCTACAAAATCATCCAGGTGACCATATCCTAAGTCTTCCTCCTCTTATCTGTAGGGCTTTCACCCGCTGTGTTGTCACACGGTCACAAAATGGCTGCTGCTGCTGCAGCCATCACATCTCCTCCCAGACAGGTAGAAGGACCAAAGAGAAGGGCAAACTGCCCACCTGCCAGCTTAGCGCTCCCTGGGAAAAGATTCTTCCCAGAAGCTCCACCCAACCATTTCTGACTACATTTTTTTTTGGTCACAGGGCCATCAGTACCTGCAAGGGAGGCTGAGAAGTATAGCTTTTCAGCTAGGCACATGGCTGTCACCTATTAGGAAGAAGAAGGGTAGACAGCTAGCTGCATATGCCTCATCCTCTGAGCCCCTTGCTTTGTCACTCCACGCCCTGGCTTCCCCGACCCCTTCCTGGTTTCTGTTCTGCCACCACCACCCCCCAAGACTCCTGGGCTTACAGGCCAGTCTGGCCTTTCTTCGGAGGTGTGCAGATGTGAGCATGCTCCCTGCACCTGACCTTCACAGGTGAAGCTCTCGCCCCTCAGCCCCCCCCATTTCCTCTTTCTTTTAATAACTAAAATCCCAGCCTGCCCAGAAGGAGACACTAAAGTCCAGGGAACTACATGAGCTCACATGCCTATCACCAGATTGGGCAGTAGACAAGATTTTGCCACATTTGCTTCATCTATCCCTTTTCTCCTTTCCTTTTTGGTCTTTGCGAAAATATAGGGTGTCCCCCAAAAATGTATACACACGTGTTAAATAATTATAAAGGCAGTGTTTATCAAAATACATTTCATTTTCAAAATTGAGCTGTCAGCTCTTAAAGTGTGTATACATTTTGGGGGGACACCCTGTATTTTAAAGTAAAATCCAGACATGTCATTTCATCGCTATATACCTCAATGTGCATTTTTCAAAAATAAGGACATTTTCTTATAAGCCCACAATGAAGGTAAGCAGTCCGTCATCAGATTTACCCAATTATCTAAGAAATGTCTGCCTCCAGAAGATTTGTTTTAATCAGGATTCAAATGAGATCGGAACATCTTCAGTCTCTTTTAATCTAGCAGAGCCACTCCCCCACGTCCTTACATTTTCTGTGCCTGGAGCTGTTGGAAATGGTGTTAATTATCCTGTAGAATGTCCTTTGTGATGTGTCTTCTTCCTAGTGCTGGCGTCCTAACTGTTTCTCTGTTCCCCGTACTTTTAATTGGACGCTAGATGTTTGATAGGATGGATCCACGTCTCACTTTGTCCACAGACTCCTTCCTAGGTGGGCTGGGTGCCCCCTACCACCTTTCATGAGAAGCCCACACTCCCAGCTGCCTCCCTGTTAGCCATACTGTGCATTGCTGTGCACCAATCAGAGGTGGTCAGCGATGTCCTCAGGACGTCGGGGCACTATGTGTCAAGACACACCATGGCGAGTGCACCCTGGTGTCACAGTGTGCCACTGCAGCCATTAATGTTTGCTTACACGGTCCACAAAGAATTAGTAATTTCACAAGGAACTGCTGATGGTAAAGTGTTCTTTTTAAAAGAATATATGAAATTATTTAAAATGTGTGTTGAAAAGTACTAGAAGAAAATACCCCCCAAAATGTTACTAGCAGTTGATTCAAAGCAAATAAGTTTGGTTTATTTTATCACATTCTCTCTCACTTTCAAAAATTTTTTGTTTTGTTTTATTTCCAATGAACCCTGTTTCTTTTCAATCAAGGGTAGGCTGGGGGAAGCAATCAGATTTTTAAGCCCTTCTTTTGGTGCCTTTTGGCTCCTGTTCTTCCTGACACCCTCTGAGCTAAGCTGTAGGAACCTCTGTCTCCCTAAGCCCTGGGGGTGAAGGTAGCAGAACTGGGGTGCTTCATAGTCCCCACCTCCCCAAATTCTTGCACTGCTTCCCCAGACCTCAAGCACATTGCCCTCGCCCACCCCCAAGCCTATCCTTCCCCTGGGAGGCTGGTGGAGACTCCTGCAAAGACAAGGCATATTCAACTAGAGTGCCCACTTCCCACTTGCAGGCAGGCTTCTCACTCTGGAGTCAGCAGACTCTCGCTTCCCTTCTCTACAGAGTAGGGGTTCCTGAGGCTTTAAATGAGAGAGGACAGAGGGCCAGGGACATAGCAGATGTCTGAGACACAGGAGGGGCTGTGTTCACGAGGTCTCTTTCAGATGCAGGGACAGAAGCCCAATTCCAACTAGGTTAAACCAGACAGGTGAGTTTACGGAGCTGGAAGGTCCAGGGGTGGACTTCAGGCACATCTGGACCCAAAAGAACATTTGTCACTTGCTCAAGCTTTCATGGAAGCTCCCTGTACTGGGCTGGGAGGGCTTCGGGACCTCAGAGGCACAGATCTCAACTTGGAAGAGTTGCCTCGTATCTCCAATGAGGTATTTCCCTCCCCAGTGCCTGTAATTGTTCCAGACCGTTCAGCTAACCCTTTCCATATGTCTGGGAAAGTGGATTTCTTCCTGCTCAGAGATCAAGAGCGGAATAAGTCTGTCGCAGTGAGTATCCAGGACCCACACCTGCCCCCAGCTCTTTCTTCCTTTACACAAACAGCAGCCAGCCTGATGTGAGAAGAGCACGTTCCTCAGGTCACTCACTCTAGAATGGTCAGCAATTCCTACAAAATCAACTCGAAACTCTGCCTGGCTCTCAGGTCTTTGACCTGTCCCACTGTTACCCAGTTTCATTGCCATTGTGCCTGGGCCTTTGTCAGGTTGGGCTCTAGGAGCTGCTGTGGCCACACAGCCTCAGCACCCTGTCCCACAGAGCCCCCGAACCTCACCATGACCAAAAGCAGGTGCCCAACATCTTCTAAACACAAATCTTCTGCACCGGGATTCTAGAGGGTTACATTTTCCCAATTTGGTTATTATACAGGGTTGTGCAAACTAGCAGGCTCACATTGGATCCTGCTACAGCTAGGTTTTCCCTAAGCAGTGCTATTCATAGGCTGAATTGGGTTTTGTACCTGTCAAGCCCAGCAGGAAATAGAACCGACCCAGGAACGGCCAAATGAAGAGTTTACATGAGGCCTATCTGATGCCCAGCCCATGATGGGTGTGGAGACCCTCAGGGTCTGAACAGCAGAAGGGGCTGGGCACCCCAGCAGCCAGAGATCTGAACTAGGTCCCTGGGGAAAAAAAGAGCCACCAACCCTGACCCCACTCCCATCCTGGGATCCTCCCAAGTGAAGGGCTGGGGCCATCAGCCAGGGTGGGGTGGAGAATAGGTGGGGAAGTCCAGACCCCCAATGACAGCACAGCCCCAACACTGAGGAGCTTGCAGATCAAACTCGGGTTTTCAGGTTTCTCTTGGAAACTCAGATCTAGTTTCTCTGAACCTCAGGATGTCAGATTCAGCAAATCACAGTACAAGGCACTCAATTTAAGTGTGAATTGCAGATAAACCAGGAATCATCTTTTAGTGAGTATGTCCCTTAACTACTGATCTAGAATGCACAGTGACTGGCGGGCAGCCCGTCCTTCATCTGCCCAGCTCTGGCACCTGCCCTCCCCCTCTGGCGCAGGCCCCCAGGGCGCTCCCACATGCACCCAGCTCCACAGCCTCTCCCGCGAGTGGCACGTGGGCACCCCCCACACACCTGCCCGGACGGAGTGCGCACAACCTCAAGCCCAGGAGACCCTGGCGCGGGGCAAAGCAGAGGGGAGGCAAACGGGGCGGGGGGCGGAGGCTGGCCCTGCGGGACCCCGTCTGACCCTCCCGGCCCGCCCCCAGGAGCGGGAGCAGAAGAGGTCGCTGCGTGTGCACGAGAAGATGACCTACTCGTCCAAAGTGTCAGCCAAGCACACCAGCCTGCGGCGCCAGCTGCAGCTGGAGGACCAGACGGAGGATCGGGAGGTTTACGAGGAGGTGGAGCAGCTGAGCTCCTTCCACGACCAAACCTCCTGGAAGCTCTTCATGACCAAAGGTGCTGCTCCTCCCTCCGTGACCCGGGATCTGCCCTGCTGCCCCAGAGAGGGCAGTGCTGTGAAAGTGCTTGGAGAGCCAGGGCTGCAGTGCGGTGGGGAAGGGGGATCTGCTCTGTCTGACCCCGGCCTCCAGCGTCACAAAGGTCACATCCAGTGATCTGAGTTCCAGTATTGCATGCATTCTGGGTATTGACCATGTACAATGAATGCAGGCTGTATAAATAGAGGCATTTCACTTGGAGATAAAGAGAGTCAACACAGAACTAGGCTGCCTGGGTTCAGATCTCAGCTTCAGCATTTAATGGCTGCCCCATCCTGGGCAAGTTAGCCAACTCCTTTACACTGCTGTTTCCTCTCCCGGCTGATCACAGTAGCAACCTCATGGTTATGGGATTCAACCTGGGCAGACACTGCAGGAAGTGAGAAAGAGCTGTGTGTGTGTGTGGTTATTTTTGTGACCCAGTAGGAAATCTTAAGTACTGAAAATGCATTAATATTCTACCAACCCAGATGATAAAGTATAATATCACTAAATTAGAGAGAAGTAGTTGGGATCAGAGTCCTGGAACCCCTGGGACTACAGGTATATTGGATTCAGGTGAATATAAACACAGGGAGACCCCCAGTGTCCACCCGGACACCTGTGGCTTATTCTTTGGGGTAGGAAGCCTTGCATTTGCTTTGACGATTGTGTGCCAAGCTCTGCATGGGGGAAGCAGCACAGCATGTGTTTTCTTTCTGCCTTCACCCTCCATTCCTAAGACCTGGGAGAGGCAGGTGGCACCTGGATGGGGAAGCCTGGACCCAGTGTGTTTGGACACAAGACTGCTTGTCAGCTTCCCAGCTTTGGCTTCCAGTGAGGAGCTGGGTCTTCTTGAGGCAGGGACTTCCCCAGGGTTGACCAGGGAGACAGGGGCTTAGTGGGCTCACTGCCAGGCATCTAGGCTTAAAACGGGGCTCCTGCAGCACCCAGCTTCATCTGGAAAGGGGAGGATTTGAGAGACAAGAAAGAGAGCAATGTGGTTTTGCAGTCCTTTCCACCATCCCTGGGTTCTGCAAAGTTGGGGAGTGTCTAGGTCTTCCTTTCCAGAAAGGCCAAGGCCCTTGGCTCCAGCATCCTGCCTCTCTGCCTGTACCCTGGAAGGTCATCCAGAGGCCCACCTTAATTTCCTCCCACCTGGTTTAAACCCTGGCAGTGTAGACTTAGCTGCTGCCAAAATTGGGCCCTGGGGACTAAGGGTACCCCAAGTTTAGATTGTGCTGCTCCATTTTTCTCTCTGGTCTTGGGGAACAGGCCTTTTGTTATGAAGTCCAGTTGGGTGAAACCTCCAGGGTTAGGGGTGTCCAGAGTCTCATTCCCAGTGACAGGAGTATGACAGCAAGAGAGGTTCTTTCTACCTGGACCCGTCTCCAGGCATGGAGATGTGATAGATCAGCAGAGCCTTCTCTCCTTGTGCTGGAGGCAGGGCTTGCTCTCCCACGGTCTCTGTGATAAGCTGGGCCTTGCGGCACAGCACTGCACCAGGAGCAGCCGACCGGCTCCCCACTTCTGCCTTTGTGCCCATCCTCAGCCACGAACCTGAGCCTCTTTCCCACAGCCCCCACACCACCCCCACCACCCCAGATGCCTCCCTTCTCTCATTGCAGAAAAGAAAGAGGAGCTTGTAAACATAAACAAATACATCAAGCAGAAACGGCAAATGTTCCTCATCCAGGTAGGCCCATCTCCCCTGAAGGGGACCTGGGTGGTCTGTCCATCGAGCTTAATTCCTGCTCTGGTGGCCCGCAGTATGCCCTGGATATGAAGCAGAGTGAGATCCAGCGCCTGGAGATACTGGCAGCTAAGGAGGAGGCCGAGCTGGAAAAGGCCGAGAAGTCCCTGGAGAAGGATTCGATCCTGTTCGATGAGTTCCTCAGAGAGAATGACCGCAGCTCAGTGCAGGCCCTGAAAGAGTGAGCCTGCAGCTAGGGATGCCCCAAGGGTCCCTGGGCCTGTGCACACCCACCCAACCTAGCCTGCACCCAGTCTCAGCCCCTGCCTCTGCTCTTGCCCCTGACCCTTGACCCCAAACCAGGCCCCTGGTAACTCCCCCATCTCCAGCCCCGCCTGGGGCAGTTTGCACACCCCTCTTTCACAATCTGAGATTGGCTCCATTCCCCCACCCCTCCCTCCAGGGCAGAGAAGGAGACCAAAGTGAAGATGGAGAAGATCACTGAAATCCGAGATCTGACCACCCAGATCATGAACATCAAAAGGTAAGGTCAGAGGAAAGCTGGGCCTGGGCTGGCCTGCCTGCATTTTCCTCCAGCGCGTCTCCCTGTCCAAGAGGTGCTCCTCCACAACACAAACCTCATCATCTTTCACTGAACCCTAAATATCTCGGGGTTTCGAAGCCCCGCAGGCTGCTGCCCATCTTATAAATGAGGTGACTAAGGCCAGGAGAGATTCACTGACTTTCCCAAAGCCACACCACCAGGACACAGGGCTCACATGGATCTGGGGCTTCCGGGCTCCACCCTGGGAGGGGCAAGACAGAGTCCCTGAGGGCTGTCCCTCTGGGACATATAACCCACATTGGTCCCTGCAGGTTGGGCGTCCTCTCCCTGGCACAACGGTACTTCTGTGCCTGCCCTTCTTGGCCAGGATGCATTGGCCAGACCCTGACCTCACCTGTCCCCTCCCTCGGTTCAGCGAAATCTCCAGATTTGAAGACACTCTGCAACATTACAAGGTCTACAAGGATTTCCTGGACAGGCTATCACCCAAGGACTGGTTGGAAGCACAAGAGAAGAAGCACTTGGCTCTGAAACAGTCCAAGGAGATCGCCAAGCTCTCCAAAGAGAATGCTATGCTCTCCCTAAAAGGGGACAAAGGTAGCAGAAAAGAGAAGACGGGTCCCTGGGTCCACCTATACCCTGTGCCCAGCCAGCAGAGGCCTTGAAGGTGCCCAGGCCACAGGCTTGGCCCCTTCCATACCCTGCAGAGCCCCAGTTGGGGCAGCAGCCACCCCTTAGCCATGTGTGGCTCAGCACAGGGACCTACTTGAGGAAGCGGGGCTGGCTCTCAACTCAAACTCAAGGGGCTTTCCTCCGTGTGCCTGCCTCCTTCTGTCACTGAGGGGTCCCGGGGAACCCTGTGCCCCCAAGCAGTGTTGCTGCAGGCCTGGTTCCAGCCAAGGCCATCAGGGACCCCTCCCTCCCTTGCTCCCTGTAGGACCAGACATCAAGGGCAAGATGAGCTCCAGAGGTATGTGGCTGCCCCAGACTGGAGGGGCCCCACACTGGGTTGGGGCAAATAGAAACTATTCCTCTGCTTCCTCCAGAGGGCCAGAGCTCAAGGAAGCCCTGGAAAATTCTGCATGTGATACGGGCAGGGCACATCCTGTCCAGCAGCATCAGCCCCCAGCAGAACAGTCACCTCAGTGTGAGTGACAGGCTGGACTCCAAAGGGTGAGTGGGCTTGGGGGAGCTGCAAAGGTGGCTGAGACCTGATGGGGGTTGCTCCCCAGTGGCTCCATTTTCCTTCTTTGCCAAATGGGCATCAGTGTGTATACAATCTGAGGCCCAGGCCCAGTGAGTGCTTAGTAAGGGCCCTGCATTTATCACCTGTTTGCTGCAGGTAGATCAGGGCCTGGAGTCTCTCAGGCCTCAGCCCAGGATCCTCTGGCTGTGAGTCTGCTCTGGCCATTCTTCAGCCAGCAGAACCTGCCAATCCAGGGTGGGGGCCAAGGCCGGAGCAGGCACAGAGGGTGATTAAAGGAGATCTGAATGGTGAGCAAGATTGAGCCCCACCTCTGAGTGCTCCGAGCCCACAGCCTTTCCCGCACCCCAGAGGGCTGGCCCAGGATGGTCTCTGCCCATGTGGGGTGCTCAGGGTCAGTTGAAGGTGGCTGTGAGTGTCACAGGATAGCCATGAGGGCCATCAAGAACAACTGCCAAGGCCAAATCTAGATAAGAGAGATGGGCAAAAAAGGCCCTGAAAGTGGCTTTTTTAAAAAGGATGACAAATGGAGAGGGGCAGCCCTAGCAGGCGCCTCAGGTGCCAAGGCCCTGAGGCAGAGTCGGCGCCTACAGAGCAGGAAGAGAGCTGGCAGGGCAGGAGCAGAGTAACCTTGGACAGTGGGGGAGGTGAGAGTCGGGAGGGTGGCAGGGCCCCTACAGCTCCCAGGTGGAGGCCAAGATTTATTCTGACTAGAGAGAGATTAATTGAATTTTGAGAATTAATTGAATTTTGAAACTATCCCCTGGCTGCTATGTGACAGCTAGGGGACCAAGAGGAAGCTGGTGCCACCACCTGGGTAACTTGTGTGATGGACAAGGGGATGAGGGGCATGGGGTTGGAAAGATGCCGTGGAAATGCAGGAGTCTACACCACTGGGGTGAGGCAGGATGGCCCAGGCTGGGCCCTGGCTCCCTGAACCCCATATTTCTCCACAGGTCCATATCTTCTGCCCTCTCCATGCAGGAGGACCCAGACAGTGACGAGGAGGTCAGTGGCGCCCCTCTCGGCAGGGTCTGCAGGAGCCAGGGCCCCCCCACCACCGCACTGCCGCTCTCCCCCCCCCACACACACACACAGCTCTGATTGCAGGAACTGGAGCTGTACTTCACGGATCCCCAGCAGCTCCTGGAAGTCCTCACAAACCTGGAGGAGCAGAACCTCTCTCTGATCCAGAACACACAGGAGATGGAGGAGACCTTAGAGGAGCTGAAGTTCACCCTAAAAAATACTCAGGTCCGCATGTAAGTCTCGAGTGGGGCCACCCAGGCCAGTGAGGGGTGGGCTCTGTCACTGGCTGCTATCCTGGGACCTCAACAGCCACTGGGAGCTGGACTGTGTGCATCCCCACCCTCCTTGTCCATAGCCCTGGCCCTTCCCTGACTTCTGTTTTCTGGAAAGTTCCATTTGAAGTCAGTGCCTGGCTCTGGTGAGAAAATATGTCCTATTGGATAGGGAATCCGGGTGTCATGGGGACCCAGGAGTGTCCTGGAAGTAGGTCATGTGAGTGGAGCCATATCAGACTGGCCCATCCCCACCCTGGAGCAGTCTATAGCCAGAGGGGGATGTCTTAAGGACCTCTCACCCCAGGTGCATTCTGCTGATGCCAGACCCAGGAGAACTGGGCAGGGTCAGGCTGGGGCAATAGGTGAGGCCTGTTGGGAACAAGGAATTCACGGCCAGACACAGACTAAACACCTCTTCTGGGTCAGGCCTGGGTCCAGGCCCTCCAAGGATAAGGTAAGGCTCTTCCTCATTGAGCTGACATTCCATGGGGCAGACAGACAACAGATGGGCCCACAGATTTGACTTGTAGATACTGACACATGCTGGGAGGAAAATTAAGAGAATGATAGGAGAAGGGGCTAAAGTGGAGGGTGGCACAGATTGGTGAGGGCAGGGGAGGCTTCCTGGGGAAGATGTCATTTGAGCCAGGTACTTCCTGAGTGATGGGAAGCCACACGGTGATCCGGGAAGAGGGTGCCAGGCAGAGGGAAAGCAAGTGCAAAGGCCCTGAGGTGGGAGCCAGCCCAAGGCTTCAATGTCCCATGGGGAAGCCATTTTCCTTAATACCATGTCTTGTTGGCCCATGTCCTGCCACGGAGAAGCTCCTGCTGAGAGTCTCCAGACTTATGTGAAACGACCAGCTTTCAGGCAAGATTGTGTTTCATAGAAAGCTGGAAGGTAGCAGAGACACACATAGAGATGAGCTGGGGAGAGGCAGGCAGGCTCCCAGATTCTAAGAACCTAGTGAGAGGACAGACACATGCAGGTACACGTAGAGCTCATAGAATCCTGGGGGTACTGTCCAGTAACTGGGCTTCAGCCAGCTGAGCCACTTCAACAGCTTATTTCCAGAGTCACAGTCCAAACACATTTAACTTCCATGAACTCAACTACCCTTCCTCAAGAAAAAAAAAATTTTTTTAATATACAACAAATAAACCATCTGAATAGGCCTATCTATTGAGGAAATTAAATCAATAATTAACCTTCCAAAACAGAAAGCATCAGGCCCAGATGGGTTCACAGATGAATTCTACCAAATATTTAAGGAAGAAATTATACCAATTCTGTACAATCTCTTGCAGATAATAGAATACTTCCTAACTCACTTTATATGACCAGTATTCTCTAATACCAAAGCCAGTCAAAAACATTACAAGAAAAGAAAAGTATTGGGGAGAAAAAGGGACATCTGTAATATTTTAAACAAAAATAAAAATTTTTAAAAAAAGAAAGAAAAGTACAGACCAGTATCTCCCATGAACATAGATGTGAAAATCCTCAACAAAATACTGAATTCAGCAATATATAAAAAGAATTCTATACCATGACTAAGTACGATTTTCCCCAGATATGCTAAGCTGATTCTGCATTTGAAAATCAATTTTAAAAACAATCAATAAGCTAAAAAACAAAAAAAATCACGATCATATCAATAGATGCAGAAAAAGCATTTGATAAAATCTAATCATTCATAATAAAAACTCTCAATAAATTAAGAATAGAGGGGAACTACTTGAACCTGATTAAGGACATCTACAAAAACCTTACAGTTAACACCATGCTTAAAGCTTCTTGCTAAGAGCAGAAACAAGGCAAGGATGTCCTCTCTCTCCATTCCTTTTCAGCATAATACTGGGAGTCCTAGCTAATGCAGTAAGTAAGTTAAATAAAAGGTATTCAGATTGAGAAGGAAGAAATAAAGCTGTCTTTGTAGATGACCTGATTGTCTATGTAGAAAATCTGAAAGAACCAACCAAAAAAACTCTCCTAAAACTACTAAGCCACTGTAGCAAGGTTAAAGATTGCAAATATACAAAAATCAATCACTTTCCTATGTATTAGCAATGAACAAGTGGGATTTGAAATTAAAAACAAAATACCATTTACGTTAGCACCCCAGAAAATGAAATAATTAGGTATAAATCTAACAAAAAATGTACCAGATCTATATGAGGAAAACTACAAAATTCTTTTTTTATTGAATTTATTGGGGTGACATTGGTTAATAAAGTTATATAGGTTTCAGGTGTACAATTCTACAACACATCATCTGTATATTGTATTGCGTGTTCAGCACCCCAAGTCAAGTCTCCTCCCATCACCATTCATCCCTTTACCCTCTCCTACCTCCCCCCACCCCCTTCCCTCTGGCAGTCACCACACCATTGTCTGCGTCCATGAGTCTGTCTTTTTTTCTTTGCTTAACCCCTTCACCCTTCTTGTTTTCTTATCTATTCAACTATCCTTCTGATTGGAGCATGTAATCCATTTACATTTAAGTAATTATTAATAAGTAAGTCATCATTACTATTTTATTATTCATATTTTATCTTTTTTTCCTCTTCTTAAAGTCCATTTAACATTTCTTATAATACTGGTTTAGTGGTGATGAACTCCTTTATAGCTTTTTTAGTCTGGGAAGTATTTTCTTCTTTCTGATGCTATTGTAAATATAATGGTTTTTGTGTTTTCCTTTACAGATTGTTCATTATTTGTGTATAACAATGAACTGATATTGTTGACTTTGTATCCTGCTACTTTGCTGAATTCATTGATTAATTCTAACAGCTTTGTTGTGGAGTCTTTAGGGTTTTCTACATGTAAGATCAGATCATATGGGCAAACAGAGATAATTTTACCTCTCCTTTTCCAATTTAGATGCCTTTTTTTTTCTTACCTAATTGCTCTAGCTAGAACTTCCAGTGCTATGTTGAATAGATGTGGTCAAAGTGGGCATCCTTACCCTGTTCCTGATCTTAGAAGAAAAACTTTCAGTCTTTCAGCATTGAGTATGTTTGCGGTGGGTTTCTCACATAGGGCTTTTGTTATGTGGAGGTTAGTTTCCAATTCAGCCCAATAGCTCTAAGAAAATTTCAAACATATAAACATATAATAAAAGTAGAGCAAATAGTATAATGAGTCCCCAATCCCATCACCAGCATCAACAGTGATCAACTCATAGCCAACTCATAAATCAACTCCTCTCACCTGGAACCATCTTTCTTATTATTTTTAAGCAAATTCTTGGCATTGTATCATTTTATCTATAAATATTAGAGTAGATATTTCTAAAAAGATAGAGCTCTTTAACATAACCTCAATACCATCATATATTTTAAAAAGCCAGCAATCCTTAATATTTAATACCCATATCCATATGTGGTTGCCTTTTTAAGCTGTTAGTTTGAATTAGAATCCAAATTAAGATCACACTCAACTGGTTGTCTTTAAATCCCTTTTGGCCACCCTGTCTGATGTGGCTTAGTTGTTTGGGCATTTTCCTGTGCACAGAAAGGTTGCCAGTTCAATTCCTGGTCAGGGCACATGCAGGCGTGATCCCCAGTGGGAGCCATGCAGGGGGGAGCCATGCAGGAGGCAGCTAATTGGTGTCTCGCTTTCACATTGATGTTTCTCTCTCCCTCTCCCTTCCTCTAGCTCTAAAAATCAATTTAAAAGTTTGGGGTTTTTTTAAGATTTAGTTTAATAAATAAATGAATAAGTCCCTTTGATCTATATGTTCCCTCTCCATCTTATTGTCCCCCTGAAGTCCAGTTGTTAAAGAAACCAGATAACTTTTCTAGCAGCACAGTGATCCTTAGACTATGTGCACTGGACTCCCCCCAGGAATCTTGTAAAATTAAGTCTCTGACTAGGCAGGTCCTGATTGAGGCCTGGACTCTGCATTTTTGACAAACATGCAGGTGACACAAATGCCAGTTTGAGGACCAACAATGAGCAGTGCATCCCACGTGCCTCTGCATTTTCTGTACATCAGAGATGGGATCTAGTTCAGAAACAGAGATTGTGACCCAACGATTTTACATTTAAGAGAACTAGTGGGGGAAGATATCCCAATCACCTAAAGAGATAGAAACACCAGAACTCCACCACCACATCCACACAACAAAGGAGGGCAGAGGTGGAGCAGCACAGTGCCAGCTGCAGGGCATGAGTTACGGCATTGAAAGTGAAGGAAATATTAAAAACTAGGTTAAAGCCAAATGCAATCCTGTATCCTTTAGGAGACATACCACTGACCCTAAAAGCACCCCATCCTGCAGTGGGCACTCAGGGTTGGAGGGAAGTAGGGTCTGATGCCAGGAGGTGCTCCCTGTTGTCATCCCAGGTGACCTGCTTGCACCCCACCAGCACCCTGAGAGGCGGGGTGGGTGTGTGAGCTACGTGTAGCCTCTCTGGACACCACGTCTGAGCCTCAGCCCAGGGGAACCAGCCAGACCAGCTCAGTACTCCTCCCAGTCTTCTGGACTCAGCCCTCGGCCCCACAGCTGGGGGAATGCAGCCTGGGGGGCTGCTATGGGGCTGAAGCCCTGTGGTGGTGCACGTGACAGACCATGGCACCCCCTAGTGGGCAAAAGAGCAGCAGCCTATGGCATTTTGCTTAAGATCCAGAAAATGTCAGTAGGTTCTAGCAACAAATGGAGATGCCACAAAATCATCATGGGGGTAGCGGGCCACGTCTGGGCCTCCCAGGCACTGCTGGTGGAGTGGCCCGATGGAGTGGCCCCATGTCATTGTGACTGGGACTTGCATGCAGCAGCCTGCACTAGGTGAAGCCATGCCAGCCTTAAGAGCCGGGATTCCAGCTTGAAAAACCCCAACATAAAATGGTCAGTGTCTGCCATGATTGTGAAAGATTATTTTTTTTAAAATATATTTTATTGATTTCAGAGAGAGAGGGGGAGGGATAGAAACATCAAAGATGAGTCATTGATCGGCTGCCTCCGCACGCCTCTGACTGGGGATCTAGCCCGCAACCCGGGCATGTGCCCTGACCAGCAATCAAACCTCGATCTCCTGGATCATAGGTCAATGCTCTCAACTGCTGAGCCATGGCGGCAGGATAATTATTATTTTTTTAAAAAGGTATTATATTTAAAAGTTGATTGTTGCAATTCCATTCCTAAATATATACCCAAGAGACCTGAAAACATGTCCTCACAAAAGCCTGTCTGTGAATGTTCATGGCAGCTTTATTCCCATGAGCCAGAAGGTAGAAACCACGTGTCCTTCACTGGATGAGTGGGGCCACAAAGTGTAGTCTGTCCACTCAATGGAATATTATGTGATCATAAGGAATGAAGTTCTAACACATGCCACAAAGTGGATGGACCTTGAAAATATTGCACTGAATGAAAAAGCCAGACACAAAAGGCCACATGTACATAAGTCCATGCTTACAATATGTCCAGGAAAGAGATTTAAAGTAGAGGGCGAGTCAAGAATAGGGAGTGACTGCTAACTCGTACTGGGTTTCTCCCAGTGATGAAAATATTCTAAAATTAGATTATGGCCACATTGTGCAACTTCGTGAATGTACCAAAAACTGTGTTGGTTTTTTTAATGTTAGTTGTTAAAATTTAAGATCTTAAATTTTACCCCTGCACCTTCCAGTTACTTTTACCCCTGGGCATGCAGACACTTGGCAGTCATGGTCCCTTAGCCCTCAGGACAGCAGCAGGAGCAGTCAGGCTCAGAGAGGTGAAGTGCCCAGGGCCACGCTGAGTGAGCAGGGCCCTGCCGGTCCCCCATCCAGGGATAGGGAGGTCAACCAACTGAAGCAGTGGATCACCACGCTGATGATGGCCATCACCAAGGAGGAAGAGACAGCTGCCGAGCTGGAGCTCAAGGCCCGAGTCTTCCATTTCGGACAGTACAAGGGCGCGCAGGAGGTAGGCCCCCGGATGGCAGCCAGCAGGCGGTGGGTGTGGAAGGAGTGCAGATGGCCACAGGCTGGCGGCAGGGAGTGGGTTCCTCTAGGCATCTGCTGGGAGGAGGTCCAGAGCCCGGAGCTCTGACAGCAGGAAAGTAAGGCCCGAGATTCAGCTGTGCTCTGGGGCTACCACGGCCCCTCGCCACCTTTAGGCTCTGTGGACCTCACCAAGGGGCACTGACTGAAGAAGGCCTTTGGTCTTCAAACCCAAGGTACCCTGAGTGTTCCTGCTCCATGGCTGTTTGGCTGCCCAACACACCTCCATTCCTTCTTTCATTTGACAAATACATCTGGCTTCCTAAACATGTATAATGTACCCAGACAGGCACATCCCCAGGCCAGGGTGTGAGAGTGAGAATTCTGGGGTCATAGAAGGCCAGGGATGTTCCAGGCAGTGGGACCACGATTTGACACACACTCTTCTTGCTAGCACCCCAGCTTCCTAATTCATCCAAATTCCTATTGAGCACCTACTGTGTGCCAGGCACTGGGCTAGGTACACTGGATGCCACTATGAGCAGGCCAGTGTATCCCTACCTCTTGCTGGTCATCACTGGGCACCAGCTGTGCCCTGTGCCTGGCTTAAGCCTTTTTGCCCACTGTTCCTCATTTAGTCCTAAGACCACTGTTTTTTGAATGTTAGAACAGACTCAGAGAAGGGAGTTCATTGGGCCATGGCCGCACAGAAAGGTCACAGGATGTGGTCCTGTGAGGAGCTGAGGAAAGTGCAGGGGTGGCAGAGGGAAGGCTCCCAGGGCATTGGTGGACATATTGAGGCAGCTGGGGGAGGGGCTAAGAAATAGACATGAGCCCCAGTGGGGACTGGAACCCAAGATCTGGCTGACCACAAAAGAGCAAAGGGGGCGGGAGACAGGTCACAGCTCTAGCCAAGGAAAGTCCAGGTGTCCCAAGTTGTTTTCCCCATGCTTCCTGAGTGCTCACCTGTGCCAAGAAAGGCCCTGGGAGGTCCGCCATGCTGCACTGAGGGCAGACCATGGAGTTGGGGGCAGGGGCGGGGACAGGCCCGAGTGACTCCGCTGGTGGACTGCCCACCTCACAGGACAGGCTGCTGGAGAGCCTCAACCACAAGGTGCAGAACGTGTACCAGCAATGTATCAGCACCCAGCAGGAGTCCAACCTGGGCACCGTGCAGATGCTGACTATCATCGAACACCAGCTGGACGAGCTGCTCGAGAACCTGGAGCGTGTGCCCCAGGCCAAGATCGATCAGGCCGAGAAGGCCAAGGAGAAGGAGCGGCGCCAGAGGTGAGGGCTCAGGCCGTCCTCCACACCCCTGCTGCCTTGTCCTCCAAGAACTCCCGAATCAAGGGGAGTTCTCGCGCTAGGAGAGCCAGTGGCCAGGGCTCTGGGGGAGAACCGGAAGGGACACCAAGCTCAGCCTCAGTGAAGGAAGGCGCTCTTGTGGAGAGGAAGATGTCGTGGAGTCAGGGAGCCCAGGAGCCAAAGTGAGGTGTGGCTAGCACAGCCTCGTCTCCAAAAACAAGGGACACTTTTCTGGCTGGATTGGAGGGAAAGAGGCTGGCACTACCAGAGCCCAGAAGAGGGAAGGGGCAGACTCCGGTAGCAGCTGGTGGGAGCCCCGTTTAGTGGCACTGTCAGAACACTGGACACAGGTGGTGTGGGCCCGTCCTCCGAGAGGAGGCCAGAGAACTCCCCATAGGCCCAGTGGGGTGTAGGTGAGTTCCAGGGACCATGGCTCCTCTGGCCTGTGGGCTGCCTGGTTCACTCACTTCTGTGCAGAGCCCTGAGACACAGCCATCAGCAAAGAGCACTCTTTCTCTCCCATCAGCTCTCCTCGTGTCCTTGGTACCTCGCTCAGGGCAGACAATGGGCAAAGGTTTGAGAAATACGAGTACAAACAGGAAGGAGACAACACTACTAATCTTGCTGGGGTCTGGTCTTCAAGGGGGATGATGGGGAAGCCACAGGCACATGGGTCAGTGACCAGGGAGGAGGATCTAAGACCCTGGGCTTCCTGAGGGTATGAGAAGGTGGCCCTCAGACTGTCTCCCAGAGGAGCCCAGAGCTGGGATGCCCGGGCAAGGAGCAGGGCAGGACCAAGGCCCTGCCCTGGGAAGGGAAGGGTGGAGAGGAGTGGGAGTTTTCTCAGAAGAGGGTGGGCCATGGCCTGAGGGCTGTGTAGGAAGGAGCTGGGAAGGGGATTTGGCAGCCTCCAGTCCTTAATCCATCTCTTGTTGCCATTGTCATCTAGACTCCGGGAAGAGAAAGCCAGGATCCAGAAGCAGCAGCAAGAGGAGCGTCTGCGACGGGCCCAAATCCGGGCCCAGGCCGAGATCAAGAAGAAGGTGGGAAGTGTGGTCCTGGGGAGCTACTGCTGGGGAAGGGTCCCACGACCAGGCACAGTGGGGCTGGGAAAAGCAGAGGGTCTGCAGCTGGGTCTGGTTCCCAAATCCTTTGTAGATGCTACTGCAGGGGTCCTGGGGTCATACAGCAAGGCCAGAATAGAGCAGGTCTCCTAGTCCTGGGCCTAGTCCTCAGGGCTGCCCTCCCCTTTCTCCAGAAGCCCTTCCCTGGGGCTGCCAGCCCAACTGCACAGTGACTGGTCTGGTCATGCCTTCCCAACCCTGCCCAGGTGAGGCTCTCAGCTCAGAGAGCTAGCACGAACAGTCAGCTGCCCAAAGTCCCACTGTACAACCTACGCCTCAGGCCAAACTCATCACTTGTCACTAGGGTCCCCTGGATTGCTGTGTCCCAAGGCCTCCACCCCACAGTGAACAGGCAGGAGCAGCCGCTTGCCTCTGGCAACAGAAAGCACGGTCTCTAATGCAGGCCCAAGCCCGAGCATGGTCCATGACGGACAAAAAAGGCTGATGGGCTTTCCCTGGAACAGACCAGCACTCTCCACTCTGTCCCGTGGGGAATGATGTACAATGAGGGGTCACCCCCTATCCCCACAGCAAGAGATGGGTTCCCTCTGTTTAGCCTGGTATTTCCCATCTGCGTTTCCAGGTATTCCCTCACACATAGCCCGCACACATCAGGGGCTTGCACCCCAGGGCACAGGCTTTAGTGCTGGGCAGACACACTTCTGAGTTGGCTCAGCAACTCCAGCTCTCAGCTTGTAGCTGACCAGGAGTGATCAGAGGCTGGGATGGTCCACAGGACTCCCCAGTCCCAGCTCCCCAGCCTTCTGGCAGGAGTGTGACCTTTTAGCATCTCGGTGGCACCTCTGGTGCACTGAGGTCATAGGCAGAGGGTTACTGAACCCGCTTCCTCTACAGAGAGGCAGAAGGTTGGTGTGCCGCTCCGAGCCCCCGGCCCTGAAAATCAAGGAGGAGTCTGAGCATGAGCTGGTGGACAAGGAGGAGGAGGAGCAGCTGTTCTTCTTCACCTAGCCTTCGGGGCGCTGCTCTGGCTGACCGCATGGGACCGCAGGAAGTGAGCAGGGCAGCGCTGGCCCACATGCAGCCACTGATGCGCCCCTCATGGTCTCCTGCTGTAGTTTCCTTACTCATGTGAAATAAACCCCATGGCCCTTTGGTGTCTAAGGACTGTTGAAGGAGGTAGACCCTATTTCCAAGTGCCAGCACTCCTCTTTAATCATTTCACCCTAAGCAAATGCTTGCGGGAAGAAGCCCATCTTGGCTCCCACCTAAAACAACTGCTTTGAGAGACCACGCTGGGCCACAGTGTGGGGCTAGCCCCACCACAGAGACAAGAAAAGCAAGCAGCAAGCTGGGCAGATGGAAGGGCTTGTGCCACTGACTGGAGAAAAATGTGAGTTCAACACTATATACACAATTCCTTAAAGTAAGTCAAGCAAAGTCTTCAGTGCGTAACTATACAAAAACTTTTATTCATTTGCACTAGGGGTTGGGTCCATTGCCAACAGGAAACCTCAGTGCCCAGAAAACTAACAGCTATTACCAATCACTGTAGTGGACACTCATTGGGGGACGTGTGGGAGAAAGGGCCAGCAACACGTCCTCCTTCAGGAGGCCAGTGCAGTATGGCCACCCTGGCAGATAGGCCTGGCTCCTCGGAAAGGAAGGGATTTCTGGAGGACCTGGACGCTGAGGTGCCAGACAGGCACAGCACTTTAGTTTGTGGCGCAGCACAGAGTTCTGTATGAACCATTTATAAATGGGGCCTACATTCCTTTGGGGGGGGCAGATGGCACCTCAGAACAGGACAGAGAGGAATCACAATTAAATGCCGGGTCACTCCCAAGAGCCCAAGTCCAAAAACTCAAGAAACAAAGAAACACAGAATGGGCAGAGTTTGGATGATTCCAAGTCTGAGAACCAAAACAGCATCTTAATAAACACACACTTCAAAAGACATAAGGCAAAAACAGCATTTCTGAGTGACCGTGTCCAGTCCACTAACCAATTAACAAATAAATATGTGCAAGGTTATCAACTCGTCTCCTTTTGCAAGACAGAAGTTACTCTGTAAAATATGTGGTGACATATGATATGCACATCTTCAACCTCAACAAAAACATACACATGCCATCATTACAGTCCTGCACATTCTTTATAGTACTCAGAACATTACTTTTAAACAATTGTCAAATAACTATTAAACATTAGTACCCAAATACAGAATTTAGAAAAATTATTTTGAATGTTTTAACTCTACCATCCCCAAACTATGAGCTCGAGATTCAGTTTACACAGAGGGTCTTGTGAACAGAGCCCCCGATGTGTCCACCTCACTTTCAGTATTTTTCTCACACCAGCAGCCTGCCTGGTCTGCCAGAACATAGATTAGAATTTGGCTTCCTGTGACAACAAGCCCATTTCTGCCCCATGGTGTGACAAAATCAACCCGACTACGCGCACCATTCAAGGGGTTGGGAAATAGCTCTCAGAAAGAGAAAACAGGGTTTTAAATCCCTCTCAGGGCAAATGCTGAAACACCAAAACTGAAAGACCCCATCTGGTTTCACTACAGATAGAGCTGTATTTGACTAGGGGACCTGTACTCCATTTCCTGCACAAGTCTGTATTTTTAAATGCAACTGGTGCTCCATGGCTCAGATCAAATAGGACAAGGGATGTGCACGCTTAGGCACAAGTACAGAAGAGGGGCGTGCTTTGCTAGGAAGGCAATCCTTGCCTCACTGAAGCACGTTTCTTGGACAAGGCAGTTTTATATAATACAGCCCCTAACTAGTTCCTGATAGAATGTAAGAAAAACCATTTTCAATATGTGTATCCAAAAGTCTCTGAACAGAAACCAAGTGGATTCTCAGCCAGGCCTGCAAGATCATGTAACAGTCTCACGGGGACACAGACTGCAGGTGTCGCCCTTGCGTCCCACAGGTAAGAGGGCTGCTTTCACTGCAGGTCCTGTAGGTTGATAGTGCTGCCGGTGTGGTGTGTGTCCTCAGGCCCAGTAGCTCCTCCAGCTGCAGGAAGCACCTCCTGCAAAACCAAGCAGAGTAATGAGGGGGGCAGACCCGGGGGCTGAGGCGGTCGGTGCAGGACCACCTCACAGGAGGCAGCCTCATAGCCGTGCACCAGCTAGCAGCATAACCTGAGGGGCCAGCCAGCTGGGTGCTTCTGACTTTTCTCAGTTAAAAAGAACTTGTTTTCCCCTAATTAAAAATATTTGTTCCTTGAAGAAAAAAATTTAAATATAACAAAAATAAGGAAAAATAAACTGAATACTACGTTACAGGTTTTCTCAAAAATAAAATTGTCCTTATTTAACTTGTAACTCAACCCCCCCCCCCC